TAGTAAGTTACCATTTGAGTGCTTAACTATATGCCAAACACTGTACAAATAAGAACACTGTTTTGTAGAACACTGTAAGCTCACAACTAATGTGATCGTTATTAGGCGTAAACAGAGATGACTGATAAAGCAAGATCTCTGAGCAGACTAAAAGATATGGGACCAGAGCTCCCAAAAGCAGAGAGAGCTTCAGTGTCTCCATTTACAAACAAAGGGAGTGCACTCTGACAGCTCCTCTCTCTCTTCTTTAATAATTCTTTATTGTTGAAAGTATTGTCAATTCTTTATTGACCCCCTCCAGTCCGCCCCTCCCCCCTCCCTGCCCCAGGCCTTCAGCACCCTATTGTCTGTGTCCATGGGGTATGCATATATGCATACAAGGTCTCTGATTACCTCCCACCCACCCACCTTCCCCCACCTTCCCTCTGAGATTCCGCACTCTGTTCCATGCTTTGAGTCTCTGGATCCATTCTGTTCATCAGTTTATTACTTAGATTCCACATATAAGTGAGATCATGTGATACTTGTCTTTCTCTGACTGACTTATTTCACTTAGGATGATACTCTCCAGGTCCCTCCATGCTGTCTCAAAAGGTAAGAGATTGTTTTTTCACTGCTGCATAGTATTCCATGGTATAAACATACCACAGCATTTTTATCCACTCATCTACTGATGGGCCTCGGGCTGTTTCCAGATCTTAGCTATTGTAAATTGTGCTGCCATGAACATAGGGGTGCATACATTCTCTGAAAGCTCTCTCAGGTCACTACATCCTGTGATTCTTACCCCAGTTACACAGTGCTTTAAAATATTTTTCAAAATACGCTTCTATCCATGTTTTAAGTTGATTCTCAAATCTACCCTATAAAACTAAGCAGGACAAATACTGAAATTCTTTTTTCAGATGATGAAACTGACTGAGGCCATGATTAACAAAGTGATTTGCCCAAGTTAGCTTACTTAGTAGAGAAACTGCATTCCATTCAGTAAGGTTCAGCTTATGCCCATCCTCTTGCAGGAAGCTGCCCCAGGTACTCAAGCCTAACTCCCCTCTCCTTTGTATCTCTTAATGTACTACTGTGAATGCATTTGAATCCAAATAGAGCAGTGTGTGCCACTCTTGTTTTGTAAGCTTAAATTTTATATGCCATTGGTGCTTGCCTCCCCAGGAGTGTGTCATTTCTGTAAGGGCTCCAGTTACTATCATTACTTGCTATATATCCCTAATAGGGTCCAACACAGGGCGAGACAATGAGCAAGTTAATAATTTAAGCAAATGATTTGATAAAACATATAACTCCCAGGATTAATGATTAGGGATGCATTTTCATTCCTATTTGAAAGAATGGGCATAAGGAACCAAGGAGAACTCACACATACTAACACTATATCCAGTACACATAAAAATAATGTTATCATGGGCAATCCTCACAATAATTCTATGAGGTGGGCATATTCCAAACCCTCCCCTGTCATCTTACAGATGAGGAACCTTAATTTTAGAGAATCTAAATTATTTACCCAAATTGCACTGTGAGTGAGCGCTGGGTTTCCAGGATTTGATAACTAATTCAGCTGGTTTAAACACAATGCTGGAAAGGCTGAGATTAGGAAATTATGCTGAGTTAGCCATTTCTCTTTGTTTTATCGAATGTCCCTCATCACAGCCATTTAATCCCTATACTCATGAGATACTTTGAAAGAGAAGGTGGCCTTGGCATAATCCTTATTGGAGAAACAAAAGAGCATCTAATGAGGAATAGTGACTGCTTCTTGAACATAGTGAAGCTATCATCTGTCTGACTCTTACTTCACCCACATTTTCTCATTTAAGCCTCACACAACTGTATTGAGATATAGCATTATCTCCGCTTTATAGATTTAAAAAAAACACCTCTGGATTAAAGAAGTCAGCAATTCATTCAGGCCACAAAACCAGTAACAGGGAATCAAATCAAGAACTATCTGATTCCAAGGCTGGTGATCAACACTGGTTCCAAATGCGAGTCCAGTCCAGATCAACCGCTTTCAGATAGTATCAGGTACCATGTTTGATTCTTCTGTCTGCCCAACAGCAAGCATAGGTCTTGCATAGAAAGAGTACTTAGGAAAGGTTTGCTTGAATTAAATTCAAGGAAAGGTGTTTAAGCTCAGAATTACCAACATCAGAATTACCAATCGCACAACCCCAGCCCAGAATTCTTCTCCAGGCTTCAGAACACTATGTAGTTGGAGAAAGAGATAGTATGAGGGCCTGGGGCCAGAGTTTGATAAATCATTCTGGAGTCTTTGAACAACTATTGTGAGGAAATATAGCCCCCTTTCTCTGTGGACAGCTTAAGAACAGCTAAAAGAACAGTTTAAGGGGACTACGAAATATCTAAGCGGAGCAGAGGTGCATGCTAAATCTGGGTCTAACTCTAAAGCTCAAGCTCTCTCCACTGCATCTCAACATCTCAGAATATTAATTTCCACATGACTGCACCTTTCTGTACCTTCAGAGAACCACCTAGGACAGTGATTTTCAACCATTGTGTCATAAGGATTTTTAAAACATGCAATTACCTAACTATTTACTCAGGGGCCCTGACCTTTTTCAAAACCCTTAGATTGTCAAATAAAAAATGACAACAGCCCTAAATGGATTGCTCAGTTGGTTGTAGTGTCGTCTAGTACACCAAAAGATTGTGGGTTTGATTCCAGTCAGGGCACCTAGGTTGCAGGTTTGATCCCCAGTCTGAGAGCTTATGGGAGGCAACTGATCAATGTTTCTCTCTAACATTGATGTCTGTCTGTCTGTCTGTCTGTCTGTCTGTCTCTCTCTCCCTTCCTTCCTCTCTATCTAAAATCAATAAAAACATATCATCTGGTGAGGATTTAAAAAAAAAAAAGACAACAGCCAATACAAAAATAGTAGTCTGGTGCAAATGAATCAAAATTATACCTTTTTTTTCCTTTTTTGTTAGATCACAAAAAAATTATTTTTTTGGTGTGCCGAAGAATTTTAGTAATTAGTTTATGTGTGCCATGTGATAAAAAAGTTGAAAATCATTGACCTAGGGATATCATTTCTTGATGTCTTACCTTGCATTTGGCCAATAGTCAGATCTTTATCCAATCTATCAACACCTAGAAAAAAAATAAGAGAATCCATAAGTAGCTTACTAGAAAAGGCCATGTGAAGTAGGTTTTACTGTTCAAGTATGATGTAAAAATTGTTAAAAGTTGTAAATATGATGACATTCTCAATTCATGTTAATGACAATCCTAACTCCCTAAGGGTATATTCTCACCATACGAAGCTTTCCAGGCAATCAATTTGCTCATTTAAACTGGTTTCTGAAAACAGGGTTTTACTTTTTAAAAGTTCCATTATACTCAGAATATCCTTACACCACTCTAGGAGAAGGACTTGGGCTTGACCAGGTACAGAGGCCAGGCCAGAATCAGGCCATCCCCGGTGGATGCTTATGCTTCATTAGGTTTAGGGATCTGGTGTGGGGAAGAAAAAGGGCACAAATGAGTGAGGATGGTATTTCACCTTGGAAGTCACTACCCATTTGGTGAGTATTTACATATAACAAGAACATATGCAGATGACCATATACCTACACTGCTATGAACTGAACTGTGTCCCCCCAAAATCCGTATGTTGAAGCCCTAATCTGTAATGTGACTATATTTAGCAATATGGAAGTAATTATGATTAAATGAGAAAGTAAATGAGTTAAATGGGGTCATAAGGGTGGGGCCTCCATCACATAAGATTAGTGTCCTTATAAGAATAAACACCAGAGAGCTTGCTCTTGCTTTCTCTCTGCCATGTAAGGAAACAGTGAGAAGGTGGTTGTCTGCAAACCAGTAAGAAAGTTGTCACCAGAACTCAACCATGTTGGTACCCCAATCTCAGACTTTCAGCCTCCAGAATGAGAAAATAAATTTGTTGTTTAAGCCACCCAGTCTATGGTTATTTTGTTATGGCAGCCCAAACTGACTAATACAGGCACATACACACTTACCAGCCAAGAGCAGCAATTTAGGAATAGGACAACTAAGAAAGAGATTGGATAATCCTCGGAACCAGCCATCCCAGTATTTTTCAGTTTTTGCCAGTTCAATCCTCCAAGTGTATGGATGGTCTTTCTTGGTCTGGAGGAATAAGAGAAAGTTCTGAGTCTCTGAGGGCAACCCCTGGAGGAACAAGATAAAGACAAGGTCCCTGGGAAAAGGAAAGGGAAGGAAACTAGCACTTATTAAGAACCTACAATGTCCCAGACATTTTAATAAACATTTAATTCTTTTAACAGCCTTGTGATATATTGTTATTTCTGTATTTAGATAATTAGAAGTTTACTTTTATTAATTCCGTGAACTTGGGGAATTTTCTTAAGATTATAAGGCTAGTAAATGGTAAAGACAAGACTGAGTTTCTCTATATTTAGCGAAAAAGAACACACCATCAAAAAGATAATTACAAAAACCATGTTGCAGTATGAAAAAAAAAATGCTTACGCTATATTAAGTGAAAGAAGCGGAATACAACATGTCATCTACATTAGGATTACCACTGGAAAAATGTGGTATAGTTTGGGAAAGAACTGGAAAGGAAAACTGAAAATACGTTGATTTGTTAGTAGAGCATTTTCCTTACATTTTCATTTATGATAATGATATAATGTTCCTGCAATAGTAATTTAAAAAAGGAAATCTGACATAAATATAACAAAATGTCAATATCTGTTATATCTCAATATAAAGCAGATGGATGGGCGTGGAGTATGCACTCATCAAATGCAAACTGAACAAATAATTCTCTATGCTTTTCTGCATCATTAAAAATTTGAAATATTATAACTGAAGTAAATAACTGGGATACTGCATCAACCACAAGATGAAAATCTAGAAGTGAACATAAGACAGCAATATATTATATTAAAGATCATTGGATGGTTAAGATGTCCATATTATCCACAGCAATCTGCAGATTCAATGCAATCCCTATCAAAATCCCAATGGCATTTTCCCAAAAATATTCATAGGGAATTTCAAGGGATCCTGAACAGTCAAAACAATTTTGAAAAAGAAAAAAAATCAGACTCTCTGATTTTAAAACATTACAAAGCTACAGTAATCAAAACACACTCTGAACCATTCCCTACACCATCCTTCCAAGAATGCAGGCTTTTACTCACCTCCGTGTCATCTTCCTTCTTCCTCTTGTTTACTGATTCACTTCCTTCTTCATCATCTTCGTCTTCCTCTATGATTCCTTCCACTACAGATTTTGAGCCTTCTGGACTTGTAATTCCTTCACACCTAGGTTTTTAAAAAAAGTGCTGTCACAAACCTCTCTTGAATACACAAATTATCTCAGAAATACTGAAACTTATGATCTTTTATAATCAAACTAGAGGCCTGGTGTATGAAATTCATGCATGGGTAGGGTCCTTAGGCCTGGCCAGCAATCAGGGCTGATTGGGGCCTTTCTTCCCCCAGCTGCTGGCTGCTAGCCGGGGCCTTCCTTTGTTCCGTGCTGCCTGCTGGTGGTCAGTTTATGTCATAGCAAGCAGTTGAACTCCTGGTTGGTTGAACTCCTGGTTGGTCAAACTCCCGAGGGGACAATTTGCATATTAGCCTTTTATTATATAGGATGATGTTAGTTAAAACTTAACAATGCTTCTGGGAGGATGAGAAAAATGTGCTTTTTAAAATGTACAAAAGTAGACTAGAACTGTGGAAGGTAATGACCAACATAAAACTATACTACAAGAGATGGTTTCCAGTTCTGGTATCAAAATTGACCCACAGAAGGGAGTAATCACTTGGAGGCATGGTAACGAGTTTTATTGGCATTATCCTATATAAATCCTCTTAACAATCCTATGAAATAGGCCTGAAGAGTTAAAAAATAGTCCAGGATCATCTAGCTCATGAGTAGATGAAGCTAGTAGGCAAATGCAGGCCCAATTAATTCTAAGGCAAAATGCTTTTCTATTATATTCTGCTTATAATAGAACAAGGCTCAACCAAATGGTAAAAAGCTCCCACTTTTTAATTAGCTGATAGAAACTGGCAATTACAGTAATCATGACAGCTGAACCTTGCAAATTAGAACATCTGGTCCAACCAATTATTATTGTTGTGTTTCCTCTAAAAACATTATCTCTTTATTATGCAATTAGGTAGAAAAAATATTATTTTATGAACAGCTGGTGCCATAGTTACTTTTAGCGAGAAGTTATTGAAAAAATATATTGACCAATGTTAGGGGTAAAAATCCAGAGGGTCTGGCCCAGCCGGCGCAGCTCAGTGGTTAAACGTCGACTTATGAACCAAGAGGTCATGGTTCAATTCCTGGTCAGGGCACATGCCCGGGTTGTGGGCTTAATGCCCCATGTAGGGCATGCAGGGGGCAGCTGATCAATGATTCTTTCTCATTATTGATGTTTCTATCTCTTTCCCTCTCCCTTCCTCTCTGAAATCAATAAAAAATATTTTTAAAATTTATTTTTTAAAAATCCCAAGGGTCTGAATAGCAGCTAGTGCCAAGGTCTGCTATGCATGGTACACAAGAATTTGTTTGAAAAGAAAAGAGAAGGGAGGAGAGAAAATAATCAAAAAAGAGTGGAATAAACTGAAGGTCAGTGAACTTCAGTGGTGGATTTTTAAGAATGGTTAACTTCTCTTTTTCCTCTACCCAACCTTCAATGAGGCCTATGGTCACAAATGTTTTTTTAGGTGGGTGTTTCTATTGAACTTGAAGTATTAAGTTTCACATCTAGGTCAAAGGACCATAACAAAAAACATGTGCTTTGGATTCCCATAGCTATGAACTGGGAGATTCAAGAGAATTTCACCTAGATGAAGAGGGCAGAAATGTTACAGCTAATATCTATGTGACAAAACACATACTCTTACATACACAGATTTACAAATTAAGAGAAAACATTACTTAAGCTTACAAATAGTAAAATTTAAAAATCACTTAATTACCTGCATACCAGCTATGTAACTTCCTTACAAAATGCTTTACCACTTCTTAGACAAGTCAGATCTCAACATATTTAGGCATTGAAAAGTGGACAATTTCACAACTTACTCAAAGCCTCTGCTATGTGTCTGCCAGATATTACTACTCAAATTATACTTTTAGTCATAAAATCCATAATATAGACCTTAGAGTAAAATACATAGGAGTTTGAATCTGAGCTCTGTGATTCACTAGCTATGTGATCCTGAGAAAATCACTATACTTTTCTGGACTTCCATATCTTCACCTATAAAACAATACTTATCTTAAAGAGGTATTGTAAGAATTAAATGAGATAAAGCAAATGAATTAATGAATCTAGGTAATGACCATCTACGGCTGCTAACATTCAAAAAAGAGACAAGCAGACATTATTTGCTTTCTGATGGCATCCTATCTAATAAAAGAGAAACATGGTAATTAGCTGTACCTCCGCTACCCTTCCCATTGGCTAATCAGGGTGATATGCAAATTAACTGCCAGCCAAGATGGCGGCCGGCAGCCAGGCAGCTTGAAGCGAACAGGGAGGCTTGCTTGCTTCAGTGACGGAGGACTCCAACGTTCCCCGCCTGCGCTGCTGGCCTCTCAGCTGCACTCTAAGAAACATTGTAACAAATATAGAAGCTAAACCAAACCCCAGAAACCTGTTTTCAGTCAGCCGGGATCTCAGAGCTGGAGTCGCAACAAAGTTTCAAATACAGAAGGTAAACAAAGGCCAGATCCCTGCTTTCAGCAGCAGAGGTCTCACAGCTGGAGCCCAGCCTCAGAGCTAAAGCTGGCCCAGAATAAAAAAGAAAAAAGAAAAAAAGGAGCGGTTGGGAGCTTCACTCACCCGCCAGCCTGAAAACGGCCCTCAGCCCCTCACCCAGACTGGCCAGGCACCCCAGTAGGTACCCCCACCCTGATCCAGGACACCCTTCAGGGCAAACCAGCCGGTCCCCACCCCTGCACCAGGCCTCTATCCTATATAGTAAAAGGGTAATATGCCTCCCAGCACCGGGATCAGCGGAGCCGCGAGCCCTCCCGGCACCAGGATCAGCGTGACAGGGGTCAGCCCCCAAACCCCCTGATCGCCCTGCGCTCTGTGTGTGACAGAGGGCGGGGCCACAACCTCCCTACCCGCCCTGCTCTGTTCGTGACAGGGGAAGGCGCCCCAACCCCCTGATCAGCCCTGCTCTGTGCCTGATAGGGGGAGCTCCCCAATCCCCTGATTGCCCTGCAGCTCTGTGTGTGACAGGGTGCGGCGCCCCAACCCCCCCCCCCACGGGCCCTGCTCTGTGTGTGACAGGGTAGAGCCATAACCTCCCCATTGGCTCTGCCCTGAGTGTGACAGGGTAGAGCCATAACCTCCGCATTGGCCCTGCCCTGAGTGTGACAGGGTGCAGCGCCCCAACCCCCTGATCCGCCCTGCTCTGTGTGTGACAGGGGGCGGTGCCCCAACTCCCCTATCGGCCCTACTCTGTGAGTGACAGGGGGGAGCTCCTCAACCCCCTGATGGGCCCTGCTCTGTGCATGACAGGGGGGAGCTCCCCAACCCCCTGATCGACCCTGCTCTGTGTGTTGACAGGGTACGGAGCCCCAACCCCCCTGATGGGCTCTGCTCTGTGAGTGACAGGGGGCAGCGCCCCAAACCCCCTGATCGGCCCTGCTCTGTGTGATGACAAGGGCTGGCGCCGCAACCTCCCCATCGACCCTGCCTTGAGTGTGA